GGGACCGACGAGCGGGCATTTGGACCAGAAATAGCGTAAAATCGACCCTTGTGGTTGTTGACCTATCTTTGGCTCACCCGCAGGCTCGCTCGACCCGAGACACTTGCCCTTAAGGTACCTGTTCTCGGGATACAAGTGTTACGCCCTTCCTTCGGCCCATCCTCCCTCGGGCCTGGACATAACAACAGTATTGATCTTTAAAAAAATAATATAATAATTTTTTGCGTCATTTAAGATTTAGAAAAGTTATTGTTGTATGTGTATTGTGTTAATCGATGACAAAAATGAATAAATAACTTTTAATAAGATGACAAGTATTTTTCGATAAATTACTATAGCTTAAGAAATCAAAAGTATAATATTTGCGACAGCTTCAAAACAAAATAGCAAATTAATAAAATTGACTTTACCTTAAATCATGACAATTTTTATGTACAATGTTATGTTTATATTATGTTTTTCTATTTCTTTTTTGGATGGAATAGCATTTATATTCTTCTCACTATTAAAAGATATTTTTAAATTTGATTTCCACTTTCTTTTGAATTTAAATTATATTTACACTTTTTCGTCAGAGATTTTGTTATTAATGTTTTATGCATTTTTCTGCAACTTACCGATAGATTCTAGGATGATAGAAATATTTGCAAGTGTAACTTCATCGACTTCTCGCTCATTTCTTGCAGTACTATCAGAATGATTCCGGTCAGATTTGAAATTTAGTATATAATGATTACTTTTCTCGGACATTGAAATATCCTTTATAAAATATAACATACGAAAATAATTAGAATATCGTTGAAGCGATTGTTTTCGATGCTTTTAATGTTAAATTATATAAATTATAAAATTAAACGAAAAATTGCCATTCGTTTTTTGTTTGCTTAATAATACCGGTTTGATATACCATTCCTAAATGAAATAAATTGAATATGATGTAGTTTCATTCATATCGTAAAATCTATTTTTTATTTATTTTTTTAAGACATCTTATATATCAAACATAACTCATGTCAAAAATAAAATTAATGGATAGGTTAACGATAGTTAATAAAGATTTATAACAGCTTTTAGGATGTAGCACAAGCGAAAGTGTAGCTGTTTGCAATTTTAAAACAATTTTGTTTAATGATTTGATTCTTTCTCACGATAGGTTAGTTAACTCTTCTCAATTTTACCGTAACTCAAATTCCCATATAGGAATAGCCAGACTTGAACAGGGCCAATGCTTGGCCCGATATATGATAACCGATGATTAGTCGATACTTGGCATTCTATATTGGCTCATGCTTGGGGAATGATTGGGTGCCATTTACATAAGAAACCGCTACACTTTGCTGCAGCGCCAATGCTTGGCCCGATATACGGTGATCAATACTTGGCTTACTGTATTCGCCCATGCCTGGCATTTTTTAATTTGCCAGAAAATTCTAGAAACTTGCGGATATAAAAAAGTCAACTTGGACAAAGTGACGACAATGTCGCAGAATTATTATAAACAAAAAAAATTTCGAAAATTAAAAAAGCTAAAAGACAATAGGTTAGGTTGTAATAAGATAGTTAATAAAAAAGTTGACGAAAACAGCAGCGGTAAGGATGATATTGACACTAATGTGCGATTATGTGAGGTTATGTTGGATAATGAAGAAATAGTTAATGTGAGTGAGAATGATTCTGTACATAGCAATAGCATTAATGACAGTAATATTAATTCTCCTCATGAAAATGATTCAAATATTAGTGTAGTGTTATGCAATGAAGAAATGAATAGCGTCTCTGATTTGAGAAGTAAACTTCAGCAGTGGACACTTGATAATTTGGACACTTTGCGGTTGAATGTTGTGACAGATTTGTTACGAATACTACGGGATGTAGGATATCATCTTTACCAACGATTGCCCAAAGTCTTTTAGGAACAAAACACCATCGAGTTTTACAGCAAATAAAAAGCAATAAAAATACTCAGGGAGAATATAATATAAATATTTATATCGGCATAGAACATGGTTTGCATCAGGTTATTAATATACAAATATTTATGGAAAAAGAAATCTGTGTATTAGTTCACATTGATGGTGTGCAAATCTACAACAATTCACAAATACAAGTTTGGCCGATTATTATGAAAATATTTCATAAAGAATACAATTGTGAACCTTTCACAGTTGCTGTATTTTCCAAACCTGCAAGTGCTCATGATTATCTAATTGATTTTGTAACAGAAGCGACTAAATTAATTAATCAAGGAGTAACAATCAATACAAGAATGTATTCTTTTAGAATAATTGGAATTATAGTTGATTCTCCAGCAAGGTCATTATAAAATGCATTAAACCACCCAGTGCATTCTTCGCTTCTGAACGATGTTTAGTTAAAGGAATCAGCGTTGGAAAAAAATTGAAGAAAAAAGAATATATCCTGAAACAAATTGTTCCAAACGTACAAAGGAGTCTTTCGAAGGCCGGGATCAACCGCAGTATCATAAAGAAAATGCTGTGTCTCCATTGTTAATGTTGCCAAATTTTGATATCATTAATGATGTGGTTTTAGATTCTATGCATTTATTATATCTCGGAGTGATGAAATATTTAATAGAAAATTGGACTGTGAAAAAAAACTCTGCAAGACTAAAACGAAGAGTTATCAATAATTTCCAAAAATAATGTTGAATGTTACAGCTGATGTGCCTTGTGAATTCCAAAGAAAATAATTTGATATTCATCTCGTTTCAAGATGGAAAGCTACGCAATTTAGATTTTTTCTATTGTACTGTGGTTCTGTCGTTTTAAAAAGATGTTTTATCTGATCAACATTACAGACATTTTTTACTGTTATTTGCAGCATGTCGTATATTAAATAGCAGTGACTTATCGTTGACCACACTTGTAATTATGCTAAATATTTGCTAACTCAATTTTTCATATTATTACCGTTTCTGTATGGAGAAAGTTCTCAAGTCCTCAGTATGCATAATTTAATTCATGTAGCAGACGATGTGAATAAATCATAACATCCGTTAAGTGGCATTTCAGCATTTTGGGGTGAAAGCTACATTGGATTTTTTTAAAAATTAGTCAAATCTCCAAATAAACTCTTAACTCAAATAGTTAATAAATTATCTGAATTAAAATCTGGAAATCGTTTAAAAATTAAAAAAAAAATTATATGTCAAATTGTGTAATAGATGATGGCGCTGGACTATTTACTTATAATGGAAATGATTATAAAATTATATCTTCAATTAAAATGAATAATTCTACTTTGAGATCAGTTCATTCTGATAACACTGTTTTACTAAACAATACACAAATCTTCGTCATTAAACAAATTATGAAGGAATATAATAGAAACGAAAGTGATCTTATTACGATTGAAGAAATTTTTGTCTTGGGATATGAAATGACTAATCAAAGTGAGGCCTTTGGTTATCCACTTTCATCAATACAAATCGGCGTTTTTAGTGGAAATGGATTTATTGCATCGTATAAATTACTATCAATTAAAATGATTAAACACAAATGTGTTTTATTAAACANAGCGTTGAGCGATCACGACAGAACGCTGCAGGAGTTGACGGCGAAGGCGCTGACTTCCAACGCGAAATTGCGAGAACTGGACGTCGAGGTGGCGCGTCTGAGGAAAGACGCGAACGAACTCGCGAGGAGAACGGCCGCGACGACGACGACGGCGACGAGGGCTGCGGCGAAGGCGGCGGCGGGCGGCGGTTGCGATTCCTAAGACGATCGATCCGAATAAGGTAATCATACAACTGGGCGCTAAAACTCCCGATAAGCAACAGTCGAAGAGAGGGTAGGAAAAAAATAGAGACGGCGAGATGAGCGCCGCGAAACGGAGACTCGTGAACGAGCTGCACGCGCCGGCGAGAAAGAACTTCCCCCGTCGCCGCGTCGCGGTGCGCGGATACGACGATCTGTGGCAAGCGGACGTCGTAGAGATGCGTCCTTACGCCGGACGGAACAGAGGCCACAATTACATACTCACCGTCATCGACGCTCTGAGCAAGTACGCGTGTACCGCTCAAGAGAGAGCGGCGACGAGGTCGCTCGAGCCCTGTCGAGCGTGACGCGCGCCTCCGGACGTCGCCCGAGAAATCTGCAGACCGACAAAGGAAAGGAGTTCTACAACGCCGAGGTGCGAAGATTCGCGGATAGACACGGCATCAATCACTACTCGACGCATTCCGTGCTGAAAGCGTCCATCGTCGAGCGTTTCAATCGCACGCTCAAGAACTCGATGTGGAAGTACTTCACGCTGAACGGAACGTACAAGTGGCTCGACGCGCTGCCGCGTCTAATGTCCGAGTACAACGCTCGCAAGCATCGAACCATCGGGATGCGTCCGATCGACGTGACGCCCGCTCGAGCGTCGAGACTCCTGTCGACGGTGTACAGCCACCCGAAGATCGCCGCTCCGCGAAAATTTCGACCGAACGATCCCGTGCGCGTGGGCAAGTACAAAACGCTGTTCGAGAAGGGATACACGCCGAATTGGACCGCGGAGATCTTCCGCGTAGCCGAGGTGCGAAGGACGAATCCCGCGACGTATCTGCTGAAGGATTCGCGCGGCGAGCCGATAACCGGCGGATTCTACGAGCACGAGTTGCAGCGAGTCTCCGATCCCGACGTGTATCTCGTGGAGAGAGTGCTGCGCCGGAAGGGCGACGCGGTTCTCGTGAAGTGGCTGGGGATGGACAGGTCGCATAATTCGTGGATAGACAAAGTCGACATATTGTGACGAACATACGTATATTTTCGCGCGATATCGCGGACGAAGAGATACGTCGCGCGTATCGTAACGCGTCGCAACGAACATACACATATACATATTTGTAATATTAAGGATAAGAAAATACATCGCGCGCATTGCAACGCGTCGCAACGAACATATATATATTGTACAACATTAAAGATAATAAAATACATCGCGCATATCTGTAAAAAATACATCGCATTGCGCTTAAGATCTATCCGCGCCTCTCCTCACAGTGGTATCCTGTAGTGCCCCCACGGCAGAGTGTCGGTCGAATCCGGCACGACGTAGCGCTTATCGTCGTACGGACTGAGCGCGACCTTCGACTCGCGCACGGTGTACACCTCGTGTAACTTGGATCTCAGGCACGACTGCTCGCGAGTCATCTCGATCTCGCGTCTCAGGCAGCGCTCGTAATCGTCGAACGTCAGCGTTCTCGCGACGACGCTGCTCCTAACGCCCTTGCTCTTCTTAGTGTCGCCTCTACCCTCGACTCGCAACGCGTACATCTTCGCTCTGAGTCCGACGAACTCGAGCATGAGAGCGCCGTTGTTCTCGTCCTTCATCAGACCGAGAACCTTCTTATTTGCGCGCGGCACGCCGTAGGGATTGTCGACGGCGTAATCGCTCGTGTCGAATCTATCGACGTCGCGCTTCATTCGCTCGTACGCGTCCTCGCACTCTACGCTATAAATGAGACTGTCCGTGTCGGTGTACAATATCTTACACTTATCGCCGTAGAGCGGCGACATGTATTCGTAGTGAAACGCGTACAGACGAATCTTGGATATATCGAGAATCGACATGCCTACGTAGATCGGTTTGTCGATCTTCGCCTCCAATTTGCGCAATTCCACGGCCATGAGATTCTCCGAGAATACGCTTCTACTGTGAAAATTCGGCTTGGAGATGAGCGCCTCGGCTCCGAATCGACCGTCCCATCGGGTCGCGAGTCGAACGTCCACGCGATTGCGCACGTTCTCCATGGTCTTGCCGAAGACGGCGTTGTTCATCAACTTGTACAGATTCTTCTCGAAATCGTTACTCGCGTTAGTGCGTAAACGCGTGTTAAGCTCCACGTATCCGCGTAACCACGGCGACTGCGAGAAGCGCAGCGCGCGATGAATCCTAGTCAGACGCAGACCGTGACGAACGCACTGCTGCAGATTGCGATAGTGCGTGACGTATCGGCGCTTATCGTACAGCATGGCTAGGAGTTTGCTCTGCCGCTTCCCCGGCGGCTTATCGCGCGTGGGACAAAACGGTAGATCGGCGTGGGCGTCGTGCGCGTCGGCCGGATAGTCGAGATCGACCTCGAGAATGTAGCCGACGGTCGAGTCCTCCGTCACGGACATCACGTCGAGACTCTCGAGGTCGTCGACCCACTCGAATCGCTCGTACGACAACGGCTGACACATCGCCCAACCGTACAGATTGTTGATATCGAGATACATCAGATAGATCGACGGTCGCGACGGATCGTACGCGCTCATGTACTTGTTGTTAGCGCGAGCGTATCTGTTGGAGCACTGACTCAGACCGCCGCGTATTCCGCGTTCCACGAACATCATCATATCGATATCGGTGAGCAGTTCGAAACGGACCCCCGTGTACTTGAGCATCGCGTCCCACGTGTATCCCGGCAACGTGAAGTAGTACGCGGGATCTAAACCGTAACTCTCCAAACAAGCGGCGCGAAAATTTTCGAACACGTCCGCGAGCAGAAGAACGTCGGTCTTCAGATAGAGATCGCTGTACTCGCCTAGATTTTCGACGCCGAATCGCTTCCAGACGCGCGTCGCGTGCGCGTAATCGCTCTCCGATACGGTGTCGCCGGTCAGAGAACTGTAGAAGGACTCGCGCGGCGGGAGACGCGTCTCCCGCAATCTCTCGACGCTGTCGACGTACTCGTACGGAAACACGCCTTTGCGCGTGAGAAGCCGGAAGTCGTCGTCGGAGAGATCGCGAAACTCGCCTCGCGCGATCGTCAGTTTGCTCTCGTCGAGATACGACGCCAGCTTGTCGAGACCGGCGCCTAAAAACTTGAACGAGTCCACGAATCGTAATTTGACGTATCTGGAACGCGCGACGTTTCCCCCGTCTCCCTCCGCCGTCGTCGCGCTATCTCGAACGGTCTTAGAGAAAGCTATGTACGATTCCTTCGTCACCGGCAACAACTCGACGCTGCCGGGATACGCGTTAGCCACATCCTTGATAATGAAGTGCGCGTCGTAACCCGATAGATTGTGAAAGAATACGGGTATGACGTAGGGGTCCTTGTAATTCAAATTACACGCGGAATGCGCCGGACCTCTGAAACGGCCGGTCAAGTGACAGTGATCGCGCACGCGAACGTCGTCGGCCTCGAACGGTCTCTCGCAGGCGTGACAGCGCGACGCGCTCGCGAACGTCTCCCGCTCGTCGGACGTCAGATCCGCCATCGGTACCACGCCGTCGAGGGCGACCTTCGCGCGAAGCGCCAGATCGCGCAGCTCGCGCACGAACCACGCGACGCAATCCTCGCCGCGATAAGATCCGTACGCCGACGCGGCGTCGTCGAAGGAGCAACGCGTGTAATAGGCCACGCTGTGAACTCTGTGATGCTGAACGATCCGCGTATTCTTGGTTCTCCCGCCCTCGTCCCCCTCCTTCCTCTCCAACGCGCACTCCAGATCGGCGTACACCGCGAACGGAATTCGCTCCTTTCTCGAATGATGCTCGAACTCCAGCCACCTGTCGTCCTCGTCGGGAAGAACGATCGCGCAATCGTTCAGCTTGCCGCAATCCTCGCTGTGCGCCGACAGCTTCTCGCTCGTGCGAAAGTAATGCATGCATCTGAAAGAAAGTACGAAATAAACGCTAGCTCGATGTCTCGCTCTCGCTCGCCGAGATCGAACGCTCACCGGTCGCACACGTGCGTCCTGTGCTGTCGCTTGCTCAACTGCGAGCCGATCAGACGAGACAGATCTCGAATACAGGCGAAATGTCCGACCGCGTTACCCTCGCGCGTCGCATCGCTCAGATACAGCAGATTGACGTGTCTCTTCCTCTTTCGATCCGTCAGACGAAGAGGGACGATGCGAATCCCGCCGTCGCCGTCCTTCCCGCGTCGTTTCTCTCCGACGGTGTACACGTTCACCGATATATCGTTCAGACGCTCGAACCGTCCGATTCCGTTCAGAGTCATAGGTAACTTCGAGCCCTCCAGATTCAACACCTCGGTGTAATGCGGATATCGCGAGCTTCTCTCGCGGTGCTTATCCACGGGATACAGAGCGGCGACCACCGACCACGCGAAACACGCCTCGTCGTCGTCGTCGGATCGCACGTTGATCACCGCTCTCTTCGTTTGAATCTCTCGCGGTACTCGCACGTGGCACCCCGCCCGCATGGGATTGTACACGTTCACGTTCACCGTTAGATCGAGTATGCGCGACAGGGCCCATCCGCTGTCGCGCTCTTAAAACTCCTCCAAAGACGCGACGGTATCGCCGACGACGCGAGTATCGTACCACTCGCGCAGATCCGTCGTGGGTAGAAGGGGATGGTTTCTCGTGGCGATCGTCTTAACGGCGATTTTATCGCCCGACACGAATTCTCCGTTGAACGTCGTGTTCACTTTAACGCTGCGATATCGGCCCATGACGTCGCGCACGCGGCGGAGCACGGTGTCCCTCGCGTCCTCGAGAAATCTCAGAGGTTCGATGTAATCGAGATTTATCACAGCGCCGGTCAACACGCGTCTCTTGAAAGCCGTCTCGACCTCGGACCACGAGAATCCCTCGCGCGACTCGACCCCGCTACCGCCGTCGTCCTCGCGTCTCGCGACACCCGCGCCCTCCCGCTCGAAACGTCGCCGTAGATCGTTCCTCGCGCTGATCACTCGCAGGATTCGGGCGACCAGAGAGGTCCTCGCCCCCGTGGAGATTCGACGACTCGCGTCCAGACACCTCTCGCGCAGAGTCGCGAGACACTCCTCGCATCGTCGCGTCCACGCGCGATAGTCGTCCGTCGTGACGACTTCGCGCGCGCTCTCCAGCGTCCGGCGCTTTTCCTCCCGCATGGTCGCGTCCTCTTCTCTCCTTACGGCGATTCGTCGTCCTCTCTCTCTCCTCCCCGCGAAGCCTTATCCACAGCGTCTCGCCTCGCGAATCCACCGGCAGCGAAATCCCGCGACGCGTCCCGGTCGCCCGCGTATCTCCGGCGTCGAATCTCGCCGCTCTTCCGCTACACACCAGGACCGTCTCGATCCACAGCTCCTCGCGCGCGTCTCGAAGACCGATCGCCCGCCTCGTCGAATAGGTCGCGACGCTCCACGTGATCCTCTCCTTCAACACTCGAACGTAGCGATCGATCGGTGGATCGACGCGCTCCTCGCTCATGACAACTCGCGCCTCAAGCGTATCAAATCCACGCCGCAGAACATATTTCGGCGGAACGGGTACTCGCGACCGCTGTCCTCGCGATCGTACGTGTATCGCAGAGTTCTACCCGCGTTATCCTCGGGCACGCGGATCTCACAGCGCGTGAGCGGTGAGAAATATCGAACATCCGGTTGGGGATAATCGAACGAGTGGAATTTCCGACCCTCTGGATACGGATAACCCTTCGGGTACTTCGACCTCGGATACTTCGCGTCAAACCATCTGTCTAGTTTAACGTTGAAAACGAGGGCTCTGCGACTGTTGGCCAGAGCCATCTCGACCCACAACTCCTCGCGCCGACTGTGCGTTTGAACGGCTCTTCTCAGATGATACGTCGCGACGTTCCATCGCGCGCTCTCCTTCAACTCGAAGTTGTCGTCGTCTATCGGGCGCGCCAACTCCTCTTCCCTTTCCGTCGCTCTACCGTCGACGGTAGAGACGACTCCGGCGGAACTCGCGCCGCTCATACGCGCGCCTCGTCGTTCGCGAACCTATCTTCCCGAGAAACGATCGGACGGACCGATCGCGACCATCCGCGAGGTGTGTGCGCGCCTCGAAACGACCGTCGGCGTCTTTATACTCGCTCGTTCGAGCGACGACGACGACGTCGCGCGAGCGGGAAAAAATTTCTCCGCGGTCGCGCGGTTTTCGCCTTCGGAAACGACGAATCCGTCGAAATACCGCATTCGACCGGATTCGGCGTGCGCGCGTCTCTCGCCGCTGCGCGTTCGAAAGAAAAAACGACGACGGAAGCGTCGCCGCGAATATCCCTCTCGTCTTAGCGCGACGCGCTCGAGAGGAAGGAACGGCGACGGAAGCGTCGCCGCGAATATCCCTCGCGCGCGAGTAAATCCTAATGGAATCCCGCTCCTCTCTCGTTATCGCGCTTAAAAAAAAAAAAGGAGAGATAAGCGGCGAGGTCCTCGTCCGATCGACGCGCTCTCCGTCGATCCTCCGGAACGAAGGATCGACGACCACCGTCGACGAGAGAGAAAAGCCTCTACTCGCGACGTGTTCTCCCGATACATAGTACGCTCGTTTTTACGAAACGCGCGCACATTTAGGTTAAAATTCGAGCGATGCGCTCGCGCGCGGTGAACTCGCGTTCGACGTCTACGACGAGACGAGGCGAGAAACACCGCCGCGCTCCGCGTGCTCTCCCGATACATCGCGCGCCTTTTTTCTTACAAACGGACATATGAAAAAATATTCGAATTTACATTCGAGCGACGCGTAAGACGCGATGAAAACGCTCGAGACCGCTCGAGACCGCTCCCTCCTCGGCGCGTCGAAACGACGCGAGCCTGAGGAGGCGCGTATGCGCGGTATAAATATTGCGTTAATATTATTTAAATATCATATAAATATTGTATAAATATTATTTAAATCGCACATTTTACATTACGTCTCTTCCAGGGCAGCGTCGAACACATCCGCTCTATTATTAACGCCTTATCTCGCGCGACGCGCCCGACGCCGGGGCGATCGCCGCTTATCGCGCGCGCCTAGCGCGCCGCGTCCAGAGACGCTCCGACGCGCCGTAACCAGGGACGCGCGCCCGCCGTAACCAGGGACGCGCGCTCTCCCCCCCCTCTTCCTCGCTCTAGCGCGAACCGCGCTCCCCCTCACTCCCGCCGCCCCCTCGCCGCACCCTCCGTCCGCTCCCCCCTCGCCCCGCCGCCCCCTCGCCCTCCCGCCGCCGCGTGACGTCACGACCCTCCGTTTACCCACCCGACGGCGAGCGGCTCCCCTCGCCCTACCTACCCCCCCTGCTCACCCGCGCCGCCGTCACCCTGCCCCTCAGATATCTTTCTATCTCTCTCGCTCTACGAGACCTCTCTCTCGCACCCGTGGAAAAAGTGGGTTAGAATCGACCTATTCTCCCTACTTCGGCCATTCATATATTCTCGTAAACTTTGAAATTAAACATAATAATTGTAAATGTTTTAAATTTATTACACATCAACAAAAATATTTTACCTTTAACGTTTCCAAGTCATGTCGTAGCATATTCTCATGCTCATCTTCATCGAGTTTTTCTATGCCTTTCAATGATTCAAGATTTTTACATAGTCTATTTCCGAAACATTTTACTGTAGTGTGATTAGGATCTCTCCTGTACATGCACCAACGTGTACCACATTTTACAACTGAGTTCGCACAAACATCTCGAAATTTGAGAAATCTTTTCAACGAAATTGTGCGGGGTTTTTTTCAAGCCGAGCTCTCGATCTTCTTATAAACTGAACGACTGAAGTTTTCAGATTCTTCTTCGAAAGTTGTTCCCGCTCATATTGAAGTAATTCTTCAACATCACTAGTTCGAAAATCGAAATCAGGTTCCTTATCAAATGATTCTTCCTTCACATACAATTTCTTCCATTTCGCTCTCCTCTCTCTCTCAATCTCAATTTTTTCCACATCAATAGGATCCATCAAATCATCATTATCATCCATATCTTCATTACCGATGATTACGTTTTCTTCAGCCATAGTAAGAGATCAACGAAACACACCCAAGATTAACGAAACGCAAAGAACAACGAAATAATATTCCAATGCCGCAGACTCCTCTTCATTATATATCTTTTAATATCTCGCGTCTTATCTACCTCAGCATTTCTCTACATGTTTAGCGGAGCGTGTTGAGAAAAATTGTCGACTATTCTTATTCATATGGAAGGAAAGAAATAAAATCATAGATGGAATAAAAATAATTATTTATTGCAAGCATCGTAAAGAATATCATTTATAGCACATGTTAATAATTCGCAATCGATCAATGATTCGCTGTTAAAAACATCACTCTCACGTATCATTTTTACAGCATCGCACACAATAGTAATATTACTACGTTGTAATACAGTTTCAAATTGTTTAAATTTTTCATTTACGAGATACGTATTCTCGCATAACCAATTGTGCATATGATCGATACAATTTTCAAAATTAAATAAATGTAATAACGTTTCTGGTTTCATGTACAAAGAATTGCCACATAATGTGATTTTCGCAATTTTTGATTGCTACATTTCGATCGTTAAATCTCCAATTCTTAATGGGTGAGCAGTCGATTGTAGAAATTGTTCAACGTCTGCTTGCTTCCGCATCAACAAATTCCACGTTGAAAAAGGCAACACTATTTGATTGCCTCGATTGTCGCTGAGAATCAGTTCCACGCAGTGGCGTAGCCAGGGGGGGGGCTGTGGGGGCTGCAGCCCCCCCGAAATTCTTAATAATTTCAATAATTTCATAGCTGATCACAAAAGTGAATTTCTGTCATATATGCTATTTCACGCATTTAATATGCTCCACTCAGAAACGTATGCCTCGCTTTCCTTCGTAGTCCAGTCGTCAAAAACTTTTATTACCTTCACAGTTCATCGAGTTTATATTTTTTCCGACTTATTTCGCTATTATTTATTATAGTTATTTTATTTCCGTGGAAATAAAACCTAATATTTTTATACAATAAAGATCCGACAATGACTTGCAAGGCAAGAGTCTTTATCGGCATTTGTTTTGTCAACTAGTGTACTATTCTTGAACGCTCACCGCGTGGCGCTCACTCGAGTCGTGCATCGCGCGGTCCAGAGAAATCCACGACACTCCATTGCTTTAGCGGCAATTGTTCCCTGGCGGGCCAACTAGATGGACTACAGACAAAAAGTAGACATAATCTTAGACTTGTTTTAGATGCATTCTGGACATCGGAACACGTCCACTAGTCTCATTTTTAGACTTCTTTGTCTAGTAATATTTGT